CTTTATGCCAGTGGGCTTCATGCCATGTGAGCCCTTAGAGAGGGGAAGGCAATGGTTATCACCATTGGAGGCAGGAAATATAAACCTTTACCCAGAAAATGTATAATTTCTGTTCAAATGAATCCCTGCTCCTCCCAGGATGGAAAGGGTTAATGTAGTCAGCCAGCTGGTCTCCTGGAGGGGTGGTGGCAGATGGAGGGAGCTTTGCCCTGTGTTGGGGCAGACAGGACCTCCTGTAGCACCAGAGCTTGGTAAGTAGGAGCTCCAGCTATTGGATCCCATGTAGCTTCCACCCTGACCTCGTGACTCCTCACACCCTTGTGTCAGCACTGGGGTAACTTATGACAGAGGCTACAAGTGGCCATGCCATTTTGTCTACTTGGTTGTTTGGCACTTCTTTTCTTTTTCTTTCTTTCTTTTTTTTTTTTAAATCAAAGTGAGATAAGGATTTAGGATAAGGAAAGAGAAAGGAACAATCTTAAGGGGAAAACCCTCAAACCATTAAAATGCAGAATCAAGCCACTGAAATGCAGAAAGCACAGTTGCAAACCTTGGCACGTGTCCTTGGCCCACACCCTTGTAAAAAGAAGGAAATAAACAAGCACAGGAAAACTGGCAAAAAAAAATATGCAGCTCCAGCCTGGACCCACCTCCAGTCTGGCCCCTGATACGTTTGTCTATAAATATTGGACGCCCAGCCCAAGTCAGCCTGCTTCTCACTCTTGAGACAGCCGAATTCTCCTTGCATGTGTATGTATCTACCTTCCTAGATAAACTTCTCTCTATGCCTTTGTCTGGCTCGTGCTGAAATTCTTTCCAGTCATGTATGCCAAGAACCCCGCTAGTCCTGACTTGAGTTTCCCCCCTCTTCTCTGACTCCTTCAAAAATGTCTCCGGAGACATCCCTTCTCCCATGACAATGGGAGCTTCCTGCTCAGTGTTAACCTATAATATAAAAATCTTCACATATTGGGCTCACTCCCATGTGTCCGTTTACGTACTTTTTGTCCCGTCTCCCAATCTTTCCCCTCCCAGGCCCCTGAGCAGCTGGCCAAACCATTTGCTACTCCATTAATATTTTTGACCTTGGGTGCTTCTATTTTCCACATAAAGTGGATAACCAGCTGTGCTACCCAAAGCTCTGCCTGTTGGGAGACCTGCTTCTCACCTCTTCTTAAAGGGGCCAGAGTGCACATAACACATAGCTAGCTTATACCTACATTTGGAGTCAAACCACTTGAACCAAGGCCAGCTTCTCCTCCCCTGTAAGCCTGTCATGAGAGGCCCTCCACCCCATCCTGTAGCTCCAGTTGCGAACTGTGGGAGAGAGGCTGGTGCAACAGCAGTGAGGGATTGGGGACTGGGGACCTGCTCTTGCTATTTGCTTAATCCTTACATTCACATAGGAGCTGGATTCTGCATGCTCTACTTTCCACCTTACCTTACCTCATTGCTTCTGAGCTTTCCAAGGCTTTAGGACTTGCATTCTAACAAGATCCTTCATTTGCATTTGCACATTTAACTATAGAGAAGTTAAAAGAGGGTGAAAGTGAGAGCACCTTCCATGCAGAGGACACCGGCAGAGGTTCCAAAGTGAAAAATAGAATGGGAAATCCAAATGGCCAAAGAGAGGGCATCCTGAGACAAAGCTAAAGAGAAGGTCAAGGGCTGGACTACACAGAGCACACATGCCACCTTAGCGAATTGGGATGTTGTTCTGGTGGGATGAATAAGAAGTCATTGAAGGGTTTTAGGCCAGGGCTGAAAACATGATTGTGTGGGCATGTTCACAAAACTTTAGTTTCAATGTAGAGAATATTTAGAAAAGGAAACAAAATATATGCAAGGAATTCAGAAGGAGACTATTACAATCATCAGTGGAAAGATTAAGGTAGCTTGGAATAACATGGTAGCCATGGAAATAAAGAAAGTGAGAGGCAGATTCAAGAACAGGTGTCTGAGTTGGGATTGGCAGGATGCCTGAACAGATTCATACATCAAAAGAACAGAGCACCTTGAATCACTTCTCTATTTCTGGCTGAACACCCATGCAGGTTGTACTGACAAGGAAATCTGTTTGGGACACATTAAGTCTGGTGAACTTTGAGACAACTAAGTGGCAGAAAAAAAACAAGAATTAGGTTTAGAGGGCCAGAGCTAGAATAAGAGAGTCGTTCCTGGCCATAGGAGTAAAAGTCACTTACTAAGAAGAAGGTGGGAAATCCCAACATTTATACAGATGTGATAGAGGGGAAAAGCAAAGGGACAGAAAGAAGACACTCACCAAAGATGGGGGAAGAAAGCAGAGAACTATATCTCCCGTCTACCCCAGCTCTCCTCTGGTCTATGTCAACTCAGCACTCGAGGTGATCCCATAAGACAGAAGTAAGTTTATGCTGGTTCTCTGCTCTGCATCCACCTAAGTTAAAAGCCCAAGTCCTCATAATGACCTGCTCCCTCTTCACTCGTACCAGTCATGCACCATTGCTGTTCCACAAACAGGCCAGGCTGCTCCCTCTAAGGGACTCTGTTCCACTGCTCTCTGTTTCTGGAATGTTCTTCTGAGGACACCTGCTTGGCTCACACTTCCACCATCTCCATTTCCTCAGAAAGACCTTCTCTGACCTCATCCAGCTGCACGCTGCCTCCTGACCCCGTCCCACCCCACTGGCCTTCACCTGCTTTATTTTGACTTTTCCCCTTAGCGCTAATCGGCATCAATCCCACTCCAAACTTACTTGTTATGTTTTTTATTTTGTCTGTGTCCCCTGAGCAGAATATGATTTTTCCAAGGACAGGGACCACTGTCTATTTATTTTTCTACTTATACACCCTGAGAGCCTGGAACAGGGCTTGGCATTGAGTCAATGCTCCATAAATCATTGTGAACAAGAGAATCCGCTCTTTAAAGGGAGATACTTATGGACCCTAACAAGATGACCTCAGTCATTAGTCTGAGCAACCGATGAACTGCTATAATCTCAACCCGACCCTGAGACAATTCTGTAGTTGAAGATGTCAGAGAAGAAGCTATGACAAGATGTCTCTAGCACTTTATATGTATAGGGGGATGCCTCTCATGGCTATTAGTGGGAATGGGGTTTTTCATCGATTATATCCTGCTGTTAGCCTCCCTTTGAGGTTTCCATATCTCTGACAACAGTGGAATAAATTTCTTATGATACTCATAACTTCTCAAACTTTTCCAAGTTTTCTTTTTTTTCTTCTACAGATGCATTTCTAAAAATTTGAGATATGATACAGGTACCATAAAACTCACCTTTTTGAAGTACCCAATTTAGTGGGTTTGTTATATCAAACACTACCACTAATTGCAGAATGTGTTCAATACCACAAAAGGAATCTCATGCCCAATACAGTAACAGTAACCTCCCCACCTCCCCTATGCTTTATCTCCTCAGTCCCAGGCCACCACTAATCTATTCTCTGTCTTTCTGAGTTTGCCTATTCTGGACATTTTATATAGATAGAATCATACAACATATGGCCTTTTGTGTTTGTTTTCTTTCATTTAGATAACATTTTCAAAGTTCCTGTGTGTTGTAGCTTATATCTGTACTTTATTCCTTTGTAGGATTGAATAAAATTCCCTTGTATGAACATAACATATTTCTTTTATCCATTTTTTACCACTGATGGAAATTTAGGTTGTTTCTACTTTTTGCTATTATGAATAATGCTATGAATATTTGTGTGTAAGCTTTTGTGTGAACATATGTTTTCAATCTCAAGTAGTCATATGGCAATTATATGTTTAACTTTTTGAGGAATGGCCCAACTATTTTCCACAGCATCTAAACCCCTTTTTATTCTCTCCAGCAATGGATAAGGGTTCCAATTTCTCTACATCCTTGCCAGCACTCACTATTGTCAATCATTGATTATTTCCATCCTCATGTGTGTGTGGGTGTAAAATGGTGCCCATTGTCATTTTGATCTGCATTTCCTTAATGACTAACAAATTTGAGCATCTTTTCATGGGCTTATTGGCCATTTATGCATATTCTCTGGAAAAGTGTCTATTTGATTCCTTTGCTCATTCTTCTATGTTGAGTTATTCTCTTTTTACTGTTGAGTTGTAAGAGTTCTTTATATATTCTGGATATGAAGCCTTTATCAAATACATGATTCACAAATATTTTATTCTGTGGGTTTCTTCTCAATTTTTGGTAGTATCCTTTATTTATTTTTTTTATTATTTTTTTTTAAAGAGAGAGTGAGAGAGGAGAGAGAGA